AAAGATATATAATACATACATAAAATATATATGTAATTCTTAAGAAAATAATTTACATATTTAGATAAATAGTATTGTAAAATGGTATTATAAGTTGAAACACATTTTTTATTTTAAATGTGTACACAAATATATTTTTATTTTTCGTTTAGCTTTTGAAATTAAAAAATTCCATATAATAGTTCTTATAAAAACAGTATGTTTTAGTGTGAAAGTTTTAGTGTGAAAGTTTTAATAATAACGAAATAACTTTCCATACTGTACTGTTACGTACGGTATCGGTAAACGGATCGTGGGTTGGTGCCCATGGAGCGCTGAACGCTCTGCTCGCTGAAATGCGGGAATATTCAAATAAAACTTAGCAGATTTTCGTTGCAACTGGTAGTTTTAAATTGTAAAACTGTTTCGAGATCCTTTAAGGATTCACGAATTATCAAGACTCAAGATACAGAAATGAATGAAAGAATTGGGAAGTTTTCTAGGACGCAAGGTCTCTCTTCTTGTTCTTCTCCCAGAATTTGGATCCTCCCCTAGTCCTCCTTTCAGATCCTGGTGGCCTAATCAAGTGATAGTTTCCACCCCATAGATCGACGCTTCTTCTCTTACACTTACTCCACCCCGATCCTTCGTTAGTGGATGGTAGTGGTAGCGCTTTGTAGGTGTGGTAGCGCTCTGTAGGTAGTGGTGAAAACGCAACGCGAATGTAACCGCCAACGTGATGTGCACGTGCAAGGGAAAGTGTGCACATAGCGATTCGCGCGAGAATTAGCCCTTGTCAATATTTATGGCACTCTTAGTGTTTTACTTAGTTAGTTGACTCGGCTGGATATCGTTGAGATACAAAACAGAATGAAAAGCGCGTATATACATATATACATTTCTGAGTCCTGAACAAACATTCTGTCGAGAAAGTCTACGTGATTTAAACTTAAACTCTCAATTGGTTACAGTTCTTGAATACAATCTTTCGACTACAATAACAAAGCATTTCCGTTCCGAGTTCTAACTTTCCCATCGCCATACCACGCATCTAACTCTTAGACGATTTCTAGATACAGTCTATCTTTTTGAAACATACATTATTGACAATTCAAATTGCGCTATAGTCATGCGTGCCGATCTCTATGTAGATTAAGACCACCTTAAAGCTATATTCACGAGCATGCACGACGAGTGATTAGAACTACGTTCACGCGATAAAGTACCAGGGCCTATGTAAATAGAATTTGAGATTTTCGGCAATACTGAAAATATTAAAAAATTTCAATTACTGTTAAAAATAATTTAGATGAAAATTAACAAGAGGACGAAAGAAATATATGTACAACATTTCTATTTATACAACAGCTAGAGTATACATTTTCATGCTTAAGCGGAAGGTTTATTGTGTGTGTGAAACATAACCATATATTTCGTTAAGCCGATCTAGCTGAATGGAAGCCTGTGTATTTTAAAGTTTATTTTACTGTACTATTAATTGAATAATAGCTTTAAAATGTTAATATTCAATTATGTAATACACAATGCAACACATGTTTTATGTACATTAAGAAAATTAAACAAATTATGTTTCTCAATTTTTAAATCGAAAATACATAATAAAAATTGTGCTAGTTATACAGAACCTCATATAATATCACAAAATAGGCCATGGAAAGTATTATTTTTTGGTACAGATGAATTTGCAGTAGAAAGTTTAAAAACGTTGCATAAAAAATAGTAAGAGAAGTGCTATTGTTCTACTGTGCATTAATCTCCAATTGTTTTAAGTAAGTTTAAATATATGTATTCTCTTGCATAGTGATTCAAAAGTTTTGCAGCGACTAGAGGTTGTTACTACAGATAAAAAAAAGGAAACTCCTGTTATGAAATATGCAAAACAAAATAAACTTATAGTACATAAATGGCCAATTGAAATTAATGTATCTGAGTTTCATATTGGAATACTTGTCTCATTTGGACATTTAATTCCATCTAAAATCATAAATGCATTTCCTTTGTGAGTTACTCTTTCTAATAATGCCTTTGAATGATTTAATATTTACAAATATACTTTATGAACATTATATGCATTTAGGCACATTATTTTATAGAGGTATATTAAATGTGCATGGCAGTTTATTACCTAGATGGAGAGGAGCAGCACCAATAATTCATACATTAATAAGTGGAGATTCACAAACTGGCATTACAATAATGAAAATAAAACCAAAAAAGTAAAATTTATTACCATTTCATTACAAATATAACTTCAACTGTTTCCATACTTGAAAGACTTAATATACAATATGTTTATTGTATATAAAGTGATTAGAATAAAAATTTTTATAAAGCTATATATATTTTAAGATGAAAGTTAATCATATTGTATCAACAACAAAAGTATGCTTTGGCAAATATTAGTTGATGTTACTTAAGTTAAATGCTTTTTAGGTTTGATATAGGAGAAATAGTATTGCAAAAGCAAATAGATATTGATGAACATGAAACATTACCAGAATTGCACATGAAATTAGCAAAACTTGGAGCAAATCTTTTAGGAGAAACATTTGAGAACTTGTTAGAATTATTACAATCTGCAAAACCTCAAAATGAAACAAATGTAACATATGGTGAATATATATTTCAGTTGTTAAAAAATTACCTAATTAACAATTCAAACATTGCAAATTCCTAATTAATATTGTACCTTTAGCACCAAAAGTAACATCAAAATCATCTTTAATTAATTGGAATGAAATGTCTGCAACAATTATTTATAATTTATACCGTGCTCTTCTGGGATTATATCCTTTAACTACAACATGCCAAAATGCAAAAATTAAATTATTTGATATTCAGAAATTTGAACCAGCTTCAATTGGTACAAAATTTGAAGGAGAAATACCAGGTAGAAATGCAATTTTATATACATTCTTCAATAATAATAATAAAAAAAAAAAAATTGAAAATAAATATTTTTCTTATTT